TTCCACCACCCTGACGCCGCTTCCTGTTCCTGCTGCCGTTTCTCTTGCTGACCCCTCCGGCGGTCCGGTAGTCGCCCGCAGTTCCACCACCCTTCCCTGTCCGGCGGTTCCTTCGGGCTCTTACAGGTCTGCATATCCCCTCGTTCTCCAGGAACCTAGTTGGTGTCGGCTGCCTCCAGGACCTTGGCGTCACCACTACGTTCCCTGGTCACGAGCGGTATGCTGTCTGTACCGAGGCCGCCACTGGTGCCCCCCTGTCCACGTTCCCCCGGGACCCGGTGTCCGGCCTGTTCACTCTGGACACCGTGACCCCCCGGCTGGAGCGCCCCCTCAGGTGGCTGCGTCTACCCAGGTTGCTGCTGCCTGCTCCTGTCGCTCCCTCACTCACCCGACCCTCCTGTGGCACCACCGCCTAGGTCACCCTGCGCTCCAGCGTCTGCGTCACATGTCTCAGCACGGTCTCGTCCTTGGTCTCCCAGGTTCGCTCCCCGCGTTTCCCTCCTCTCCAGCCCCACCTTGCACGCCTTGTGTCGAGGGTCGGCTTCGCCGTGCCCCTCACTCCTCCTCGTTTCCCCCTACCGCCGCGCCGCTGCAGACCCTGCACCTAGACGTCTGGGGCCCCGCCCCCGTCCCTGGGCCGCGTCGGAGAGCGCTACTTCCTTGTGCTTGTCGACGACTTCACTCGTTACACCACAGTCTTTCCCCTGGAGCGCAAGGCCGACGTGCCTGGCGCTCTCATCCCCTGGCTTGTCTCTGCGCGTGTCCACCCGGTCTCCCTGTCTTGCGTCTTCACTCAGACCGTGGTGGCGAGTTTGCCTCCGGTGTCCTTGGTCGCTTTTGTCGTGCGGAGGGCATCACCCAGACGTTCACCCTACCGGACTCCCCACAGCAGAATGGGGTCGCTGAGCGACGCATCGGTTTGGTCATGGAGGTCGCTCGCACCTCCATGATCCATGCCGGTGCACCCCATTTTCTGTGGCCGTTCGCTGTGCGCTACGCTTCTCACCAGCTTAACCTGTGGCCGCACCCTCAGCAGCCGCAGGTTTCGCCCACCCGTCTTTGGACTGGGTCCCCTGGTGACGCGTCTGCGTTCCACATCTGGGGCTGCCTTGCTCACGTCCGTGCCTCCGGCACGGACAAGCTCACTGCCCGCACCCTTCCCTGCGTCTTCCTCGGTTTTCCCCTTGACGCGTCCGACTGGCACTTTTACCACCCGCCGTCTCACCGCTTCTTTCACTCTCGTGACGTCACCTTTGACGAGTCTGTCTCCTACTACCGCCGCTTTTCCCCACCGTGGTCCCCCGGTTACCCCCCCCTGTTCCTGGTCACCCCTTCCCCGGTAGTCCCTGCCCCTCCTCCTCCTCCTCCCCGTCCCGCCCCCTCTGGTGTGTCCCACGTCACCCCCCTTCCGTCCGTGGACCCGGTTGAGGAGTCTTCTGACTCTGGGGCCCTCCTGTGCAGTCCTCGCCGGCCGCCCCTCCCAGGTGTCCCCTCCCCAGTCCCCTCCTCCACCGCCACTACCGCTGCTGCAGCCGTCGTCGTCGCCGCCGCCGCCGTCGCCTCCGCCGCCGTCGCCTCCGCCGCCGCCGTCGCAGCCCCCGTTCACTGACTCTGGGGGTGCTCGTCCCGGTCGCCCTGGGGGTGGTCCCTCTGGGGGTGCTGGTGTGGAGAGTGCCGGTGGTCGCCGAGGAGCAGCTTGCGGTCCAGGTGTCACCGTTGTGCCGCCGCAGCAGCGGTCCCCGCCGGTGTCCGCCCTTCGCCTGCTCGGCCTTCCGTCCCCCGACCCTGCGTCGGTTCCTCCCCGACCGTCTCCTCCTCTTCTTGTCTACGGCCCTGTTTTCCCTCCGCCGGGCTCGTCCCCGGCTCGTCTCCCCCCTCGTTCCCCTCCTGTGTCCCCTCCCCTGTCCCCTGACCCGACTCCTCCGTCGCACGTCTGGTCTCACCGCCCCTCCCGTGCTCGTCCTGCCTCTCCTGTCTTGCGCTCCCACCCTATGTTGCTTCGTTCCCACGCGTCTCGTCCTCCCCTTCTCCCGTCGCCTCCTCCGTCCTCCCTTGTTGTTGCGCCCCCCCTGCTGTCCGACTACCTTCGTGCCGCTCGTCCTCTCGTTCCTCGGGTCCTTGCCTCTCTCGTTACCGACCCGTCTGTTCCGGTCTCGTGCCTTGACGCTCTTGTCGCTGCTGTCGCTGACTTCGCCTCTACCCGCCGCCTTGACTACGCCACCGCTCTGGTCTCTGACCCTGCCTGTCCTCCGTCTATCGGGGGTGCTCCTGCCCTTGGCGGTGACGTCCTGGAGGACCGCCAGTTCGAGCTTGCTTTCCTCTCCGAGGCTGCTCCCCATCTCTGTTCCATGCTACTAGTCCCTGAGGGTGACCAAGACGCTTTCGACATCCCGACCCCTCGCACTTACGCTGAGGCGACTTCGGGATCCTGGGCCTCACAGTGGATAGCTGCCATGGAGCAGGAGATGGCATCTTGGAGATCCACGGGCACCTTCGTCGACGCAGTTCCCCCACCTGGGTGAACGTAGTCGATGGCCGCTGGCTCTTCAAGGTGAAGCGCCCTCCTGGAGAGCCGCCTGTCTTCAAGGCGCGCTATGTAGCTAGAGGCTTCAGTCAGCGCGAGGGGTGGACTTCTTCCAGACCTTCGCTCCGACCCGAAGATGACTACTCTTCGGGTTCTGTTACACCTAGCTGCTCAGCGTGACTACGAGCTTCACTCCCTCGACTTCTCCAATGCCTTCCTTCAGGGCAGCCTACACGAGCAGGTCTACCTGCGTCGCCCTGCGGGCTTTACTGGCACCTTCCCTCCTGGGACCCAGTGGCTCCTGCGGCGCCCCGTCTACGGCCTGCGCCAGGCTCCCCGTGAGTGGCACGACACTCTCCGTGCTACCCTTGCTGACCTGCAGTTCTTTCCGTCTTCCGCAGACCCTTCACTCTTCGTTCGTGCTGGCCAGACTCCGTTCTACATCCTTGTTTACGTCGACGACCTGGTCTTTGCCACGGCAGACAGGGACGCACTGGCCTCCGTGAAGGCAGAGCTGCTGAAGAGACACACCTGCACTGACCTTGGAGAACTGCGCCGTTACCTTGGCTTGCAGATCTCCAGGGACAGAGCTGCGCGCACCATCACCCTGACTCAGTCACACTTGGTGCGCCAGGTCCTTCAGAGGTTCAGTCTTCAGTTCTCCTCTGCACAGCCCACCCCTCTGCCTGTAGACCACAGACTCTCCGCTCTAGTACCTGAGGAGTTGGTAGAGCCCAGCGCCCCTACGCAGAGCTGGTGGGTTGCCTCATGTACCTGATGACTTGCACTCGCCCAGATCTCGCATACCCTCTCAGCATCCTGGCGCGCTTTGTGGCCACAGGCAGACACCGACCGCAGCACTGGTCTGCCGCTAAGAGGGTTCTGCGTTATCTTGCTAGTACATCGGGCATGGGGTTAGTGCTTGGAGGACGCAGGCCAGTGGTCCTTACTGGACACACAGACGCTTCGTGGGCAGACGACGCTGAGACACTCAGGTCTACCCAGGGCTACTGCTTCAGCCTTGGCTCAGGTGCCGTCTCGTGGACAGCTACTCGCTCCTCGTCTGTTGCGCAGTCCAGCTGTGAGGCTGAGATCTACGCGGGTGCCATGGCGGCACAGGAGCTCCGCTGGCTGACCTTCTTGCTCACTGACTTAGGTGAGCGGCCTAGCTCTGCCCCGGTCCTGTTCGCTGACAACAGGGCCATGATCCTCCTTTGTCAGGAGCCTCTACTCGAGGGCAGAGCGAAGCACATTCAGCTGCGGTACTTCCTCCTGCGTGAGCTACAGCAGCGACGTCAGGCTCGCGTAGTACACTTGGCCTCAGGTGCCAACACAGCTGATATCTTTACGAAGGCGCTTGCGCCTAAAGATCATCAGCGGCACTGTGTACAGCTTGGTCTAGTTCCTGTCGCTTCTCACTTGCTAGGACCTTGACTTGTACTGTCCTTTATATGTATACTCAGACTGGACTTGTGTCCTCTCCCAGTGGCTGGACTAGTAGTGCCGCCGTGGTCTTGTTCTTGCCTTGTCTGTACTCCTTCTGACTGGTCTCTCAGACCCTTGTCTCAGAGGTTGGACTAGTAGTGCCGCCCTGAGCTGCTTGTTTAGGGTATTCCCCTATGCAGTCTAGGGGTGTGTCAAACATCTGTATTTGTCATGTTTGTATAGACTGTATAGGGTTACCTCTTAGAGGGTACAACACTTAGATAAATTTGTGTATACTCTCACTTGTCAATATTCAATTCCTATTCTGATATGCTAATGAAGAGAAACCGATGGAATAAGTCCACTTTGCGTCCAAATACATTCCACAGGTTCAAATTTCAAGATCCAAATTCGTCCCTTTGCTTAGTCAAAGCAAGTGTCTAACAGCACGTAAATCATGTTGAAGAATACCCTAAACTCCAACAAATCATTCATCAGTGCCAAATTCGTTTGAAACAAATACCCAGCATCAAATCCTAACGACCAGCCACCACAGGGCAGTCTGCCGCCCTGTGCCCAGGTTGCTTGCACAAGAAGCAGACCCCCGAGAACCCTCCTCCACTGCTGCGGCTGGACCTGTCAAACAGCCCATACTCCCCTCCCCTGCTGCTGGGGGCGCTGCGCGTGCGCTCTACGGGGGATGGAGTGTAGTACCCGTCACTGTCCTCGCTCTCCCATGCGTCAGAGGTGAAATTGCGGCGGTTGACCAGGCCACCGCCAGCAGGGCGACGATCCCGAGAGAATCGGTCACGCTCGCCGAACCTGCTGCCTCCGCCGGTGCTGCTGCTGCCGCTGCCACTGCTGCGCCTATCACCCACGTCGCCCCAGCTGCCAGACCTGATAGGGAGGAGGGAGGGAGACGTGGAGAAAAGAGGATGGAAGAGAGATGAGGCACTGGGATACGATGTATGACGCACAAGAGTAATACAACTCACAAGATGCGTGCAGCGTGATATACAAGTGCAAGACCAAACTTGCCCGAGCAGGAAACATCACTCCTTCCTTCTACCAAGAGAAAAATCCCATGTCATCCCATCTCATACGGCGGTACATCATCCCCATCTCCACCCCAGCGACCCACTCCACCATCCCCCTCCATCCCACTCTACCCCACTCCACCCCAGTGACCCACTCCATCCCACTCTAACCCACTCCACCCCAGTAACCCACTCCACCCCAGTAACCCACTCTGTCCTATTCCATCTCACTCCAAACCATTCCATCCCACCCCATCCCATTCCATCCCACCCCATCCCATTCCATCCCACCCCACCCCACCCCACCCCATCCCATTCCATCCCATTCCATCCCACCCCATCCCATTACCACCACTCACCTCTCTCCTGACATCCCGCCTGAAGCCCCTGTCGAAGTCTTCCCTCCACCACCCCACCCCACCCCACCCCACCCGATTCCATCCCACCTCATTCCCCCCACAGCAGCACCACGGCCACTCACCTCTCTCTCCTGCCGCCGTCATCCCGCCTGAAGCCCCTGTCACGATCGCCCCCCCTGCCCCTCTCCCCTCCCCTGTCACTGCCGCCGCGAAACCTGTCGCCTCCGCCCCTCCCCCTGTCGCCTCCCCTCCCTCCGAACCGCCCGTAGTTGTCCCTGTCCCTGCCGCCCCTCACATCGTCATCCACCAGAGTGGGCAGCTGTGGGGCACACGGGGCGGATGGGACAGGCAAGAACACAGAGATTACACTGAGAACAGCCCGTAGTTGTCCCTGTCCCTGCCGCCCCTCACATTGTCATCCACCAGTGTGGGCAGCCGTGCGGCACATAGGACAGATGGGGAAAGCACAAACATAGGGAGATGGAGAAACGCACGGGTGCATGCAACCTCACATACCTAGTTCCTGGGACATGCAAGCTTTGATGCTGTCTAATTTAAAAAAAAAAAAAAAAAAAAAAAAAACAAGGGGATGGGACCATGAGGAGAGGAGAGGAGAGGAAGGCATGGCATCTACCCCTGACGCCGGATGTCAAAGACATCCCCGTTGTCGATCTTGATGCCCAACTCAAGACTGATAGTGCGGAGAGTGAGAGTGAGGAGAGTGAGAAGACTGAGTGAGAGTGAGGAGACTGAGAGAGCGAGGAGAGAGAGAAGACTGAGGTGAGTGCGAAGACTGAGGAGAGTGAGGAGACTGAGTAGAGGGCAAAGGAATGCAGCCCCCACCTGGCGCGGAATGTCAAAGACATCCCCGTTGTCGATCTTGAGGCTTAAGAGCTCCTTCGCCACATCCTCTGGCAGGTCGAAGACTGCTCCCTCCACCTGATAGGGGGAAGGCAAAGTGGGGAGGGGAGGGGGGGAGGGGGGACCAGATTAGGGAGAGAAAAATAAGATTAGGTGCATACATCCTCCCTAATCTGATGCCCCCTCCCCCCCCAGACATACATCCTCCCTTAATCTGGTGCCCCCTCCCCCAACAGACATACATCCTCCCTAATGTGGCGTTCCCCCCCCCCCCAGACATACATCCTCCCTAATGTGGTGTTCCCCCCCCCCCAGACATACACATCTGGTGGGCCACCAGATTGGGGAGGATGTATGTCTCACATTTCTGGTCAGATCACAAGCACTCTCTTCTTCTATCCTCCAAATAATTATATTCCCACCTCTCTCCACTCAATGCCGTTAGACGAATCCCCATACACCCACCCACCCACGTCTGTGCCCCATGCCCAATTCCCCCACCCGCTCACGTCTGTGCCTCATGCCCACTCACAGCTATGCCCCATGCCCAATCCCATCATATCAATCCACACACACCCACTCACATCTGTACCCAATGCCCATTCACACCTAAGCCCCTTGCCTGAGGAGTTTTTTTTTGGCACCTAAAAAACAGACTGCCCCATGCCCAATCCCCAACAATAACTCACATCTCTCTCGCCTGGAATCTTGATCTTCACGACGTTGTCCGCGGCGCGGCAGCAGATCTACCCAACGTGCCTGTGACGGCCCCCATAGCAGCAGAAATCCACCCACATTCCCAGGCAAGCCCCGCATACCCACCCACTCACATCTCTCTCGCCCAGGATCTTGATCTTCCCCACGTTGTCCGCGGCGCGGCGGCAGATCTCCCCCAGCGTGCCCATCACCGCCCGCGGCGAGATGAGCGGGCCGTTGCGGCTCTTGGGCGAACGGATGATGCGCACCGTCACATACCCCTCCTCGTGCGTCAGCAGGGACCGCGCAGAGGGCGGCTGACTGAACCCGCTCAGGTGGGCAATGGCGGCAGCGAGTGCAATCGGGCCGCGCTCCTCCAGAAGCTTCTCGGCGGTTTCCAGGAAGGACTCGGCGAGCTCAGGGTGCACACGGGAGATGAGAGCCGCTGACTGATTGGCCGAGGCTTGGAGGACATCGTCGGGGTGGGGGGGAGAGGCCTTCTCGAACTTGCAGCCAATGTCACGTTCGATCATTCGGAGAGAGCGGATCTGGGAAGAGGGGGAAAGGGATGGGAGGGAGGGAGGGAGGGAGGGAGGGAGGGAGGGTAAGGTGTGAAAGATAGGGTTAATTTTCGGTCTCTTACAGTCATGGATTAAGCCCAGCCGCTCGGGGTGCACACAGGAGGCCATAGGTGACTGATGGGCGAGTGGTGTACATGGGGATGGTGCATCCAGTAGTGTCACATGCATATGGACCCCCCCTATACTCACATACCTCACATCTGAACATCCGCAAGTCCGAGTACACGAGGATAATACATCCTGTCTCGTCACTTGACGTGACTGTCCTACTAATAGGCATACACGTGCCTTATACATGCACGCAACTTATATTCACATCCCCCATACCTGCGAATCCGTGTACATGAGGATGGTGCATCCTGTCTTGCCCGCTCGCCCCGTTCGCCCCGATCGGTGCACAAAGGTCTCAGGGTCGTTGGGGATCTCGTAGTGGATCACCTGGGGACCAAGAGCGGGAGGGAAGAGGTTGGAGAAGAGGGAAGAGAGAAGGGAGAGAGAAAGTGATCACTCTGTGCAGAGGTCTTTGGATTATTAGGGATCTCGTAGTGGATCACCTGTTAAGGAAAGGGGAAGGGTTTAGGGAGGGGAGGGGAGGGGAAGGTGGGGGAGGGGGGGGGAGGGAAGAGTGGGGGAGTGCGTGATTGGTGCACTAGGGTCCCCAGGTCATTGGGTCCCCAGGTCATTGGGTCCCCACCAGGTCATTGGGTCCCCACCAGGTCATTGGGTCCCCAGGTCATTGGGGACCTCACCAGTGTGGTATGGCGAATGAGGCGTGGTGACTTCTGAGTCAACTCAAAAGTCACCTCGTTACATTTTGCCTCAAAAGTCTCAAAAGTCAGAAGTCACCTCAAACACGCACCCTGCAAAATCAAGGACCTCACCAGTGTGGTATGGCGAATGAGGCGTGGGTTGCAGTGCAGCAGGGCACGGAACACGGGACGAACACGGACGGAGGCGGACAGAGGCAAGACGGCAGAAGGGCGGCAGGAGGAGAGTTTGGGAGAGGTTGATCTTGTGCCCTGCGGCACCCTCCCTCTGTCCGACCCTAACAACTCACCAGGTCAACAACATTGGGGATGTCCAGCCCCCTGGCGGCGACGTCCGTGGCAACGAGCACAACGAACCGCCCGTCTCTGTACGCCTGCAGGGTTCGCTTCCGCTGCTGCCGGGGGATGTCCTTGCGCCCCCAAACCCGCCATTCCCCCCTGTACGTGAACTCTAATATCAGGAAAGGGGGCTATCAGCTCACCAGATCGACGTTAGGAATGTCCAGCCCCCTGGCGGCGACGTCCGTGGCAACGAGCACAACGAACCGCCCGTCCCGGAACGCCTGCAGCGTGCGCTCGCGCTGCTGCTGGGGAATGTCGCCGTGGAGGGCCTCGCAGCCCACAGAGCGACCCAGCGCCATGGCCACCTCGTCCGCGTCCTTCTTGGTCTGCGTGAATACTATCGTCTTGCCGCCCAGTGCGTGCACCTGCAGGTTGAGGGGTTTTGGGGAGGGCGGGAGGGGGAACACTATGGTCATGCCGCCCAGGGCGTGCACCTAAAAGTTAGAACAAGAGGGAAGGGGAGGAGGGTGGAGTGGAAAGGGGTGGGGGTGGGGGGAGAGAAGCCATCACTAGAACGTTCCATTGCTCCCGTTGCTGCTGGGGGATCTCACTTCCGTGAAACACTTCAGCGCACTGCGTGCTCGCGCACTCACACGTGCACGAGATGATCGGCATTCAGCCCCCCTTCGCATTTCCCACGTCATTACGACGTGAATTTTGAGTCGATTCAAAAGTCACTTCGCATTTCCCACGTCATCATCATCACCAGCGCCTTTCGCTCGCACATACCGTGATGAGGTCGACGAGGATGGAGCGCTTGGAGGCGTTGGGCGCTCGCACGCACAGCAGACGGATGCCCTCCGCCAGCTTCTCCTCCTTCTCGCCCACCTGGCGAGTGAGGGAAGACCGGGAAAGGGGGGGAAAGGGGGAGGGGGAAAGGGGAGGGGGAAAGGGGGAGGGGGAAAGGGGAGGGGGAAAGGGGAGGGGGAAAGGGGGAGGGGGAAAGGGGGAGGGGGGAGGGGGAAGGGGGGGGGGGGAGGGGGGCAGAGGGGTGTGTATGCGATGAGAGGCTGGGTTACAAGTACGCGCGACAAGTCACCCCCACCCTACCAAACGCACCCCCGATCCCTTGGTGATTTTAGAGTCGACTAAAAAATCACCAAGGGGGGCAGAGAGATGTGCAAGCGATGCTAGGCTGAGTTACTACAAGAAAGCGCGACAAGTCACCCCCACTCTACCAGATGCACAAGACGCATCCCCACTCTACCAAGCACACCCCCAGTCCCTTCCGCATCATCTACCTCTGCTACGAAGTCGTTTGCCTTTTTCTTTAGAGGCGCCTCAAAACTGAGACTGCTTTTGAGGCGCCTCAAAAGCGGTCCCTTTCACATCATCTCCCCCTGCTACAAGTCTTTTTGCCTCTTCTTCCCCCAGCCTTTCCAGACGACTAGTTGTCAGACTTGAAAATGTGCAGATATCTAAAAATCCCTCCGTTTATTCGTTTACCGGGTTTGTAGTGAGAGCGGGTTGGCGAGGTACTTACACTAAGTTGCCTCGCCCAACTAGGCATAAGCGCTGAGAAGAGGCTCTTGTGGGCGCGGCCGCCCTCGGGCAAATTATCCAGGAAAAACAGGGGAAACAGTGCTTACCAGGTCAATAGTCAGCGGGTTGGTGAGGTACTTGCGGCTGAGCTTCTTGACCCAGGACGGCATGGTCGCGGAAAACAGACTCGTCTGGATGTTGACTCCCTCGGGCAGATTCTCCAATATGCGCTCGACGTCCTCCTCGAAGCCCACGGCCAGCATCTGGTCCGCCTCGTCCAAGACGACGAACTGCACCTCCCTCAGACTCAGCGTGCCGCGCTCGATCAGGTCGATCAGCCGCCCGGGCGTGCCGACCACCACGTCCACGCCGCGCTTGAGCTGGCGCATCTGCCCCTCGATCGACACCCCGCCGTACACGCAGGCTGTTGACAGGTTGGGCGCGGATTCGCAAAACTCGCGCTCGACTTGCTTCGCCAGCTCGCGGGTTGGCGCCAGGACCAGGCAGCGAGGGGCGCGGAACGGGCGCCTGCAGCGAGCCGGTAGGGCGCGGGGGGGTTAAGGGGGGAAAAAAGGGGGAACGGGAGGGGAGGGAAAACGAGAGGAGAGAGGAGGGGAGGGTGGTAATCTTCTTGAGTCGCTTCACTGATAGCGCTGCGACCAGTTTTTCTTTCATCAATTCTCACGCTTTCGTTCCCTTTTGAAACGATGAGTCGTTGTACAAGACAGCAAAAAAAAAAAACGTGACATTTGTTTGCCCTCCAGTAACGTACTTCGTTCCGGAAATTGTTCCTAAACCAAATGAGCTTCATGTTTGAGCTAAGGAGACTTAAGCGACCTGACGTTGATCTCACTCGTAACCCGCTAAAGTGTAGCTCGAAGGCATAACTTGGCGCCAAAGATAACCTCAAAACACCCTTACACATCTCTTACAAGACATATGTACAACAAAGCACATCAAGGCACTGACCTGCCGTTGCTCTCCTCGATCTCGCGCGTGATGCGCTCGAGGATGGGGATGCCGAACGCGAGGCGGATACTATCATCTTGACGCCTGATACTACCTCAAACCCCAAAGAACCCTGGGTAAAACTCGAAACACCTCTCGAGGCACCGACCTGCCGTTGTTCTCCTCGATCTCGCGCGTGATGCGCTCGAGGATAGGAATGCCGAACGCGAGGGTTTTCCCCGTGCCCGTCTTGGCGCGCGCGATGATGTCCCGGCCGTCCATCGACGGCGCTAGCACCGCGTGCTGCAACCAGTAGGGGCAACACGAGGGGAAGCATGCAGAGAATCATACCGACGCAATCAGGATTCAGGGGGGTTAGCCAGTGCCCATCTTGGCGCGAGGAGTGATGTCCCGCCCGTCCATCGACGGCGCTAGCACGGCGTGCTGCGATCAGGCAGGGCGGCAAGCGGGTCAAAAGGGGGAAAAGTAGGGTTGCTATGGTTCAGAATGTAACGGACGCGAGCAGTGATGTCCCGCCCGGCCATCGAGGGCGCAAGCACCGCGTGCCACAAACTCGGTGACACGTCCCTTCAAGCGCGACGGGATAGGCGGCGAAGTGAAATGAGCTGAAAGGACGCGCAAGCGTTTCAACAAACACACTCCTCTCGTCGAACAACATCCGTCGCTAAGGAAGGTGTAAACCTAAAACTAAAACCTTGCGCCGCAAACAGTTGAAGGACACGCGCAGTACATGCCTGAGAGACCATCCGAACTTAAACCTCAACAGTCGATCGCGTTGACCTAAACCCTGGTTCATACCTGGATGGGGAAGAGACGGGAGATTCCGCGCTTCAGCAGCGCCTGCTCCAGAACCGTGGCAAGCCCAAGGCTTTCAATCGCCAGCTCATCCCTGTCCACGTCATCATCTGACACGTCGACGAGCACCACCTCACCCTCCTCGTCACTGCTCACTTCCTCATCGCTATCAAAAACCTCCGCTTCCGAGTCAGACGTTAAACCCCCAAGCAAGTCTCGGCCAAGCCCTGAACCCGCGGACGCTCCCCCAGCAGTGGCGGTCAACCCACTCTTGGCTCGCGCCTGATACAGTGCCTCAAGAGCGCGTGATCCAGAGCCGTCGGATTCAGAATCGGACGACGAGGATTCGGTGGAATCGTCGAGGTTGTACTCCGCCGTCGGCAACACCGCGCCCTGGCGGACTGCGGGAGTCGCGCCGGCGATCGCGGAGCGGGCGGCGGACGCGGAACCGATAGGGCTTGCGCTTGCGGCGGAATCGGAGGACGACGCGTGCGCAGAAAGGGTGGACGCCAGACGCGCCGCAGCTCCTCCTGAGCGCGATGATAGCAACAACGCGTCCCGAGCTACGCCGCCTGAAAAGAAGGTCGAGCTGGCGGAGGATGCGGCGGCGGCGGATAAGGATCCCAGCTGGGTCTTCATCTGATTGCCGGCTCCTGATTGGCTTCTGAGAGCTGAGGACCACTGCAGGCAGGTGAAGGATCCAGGCGCGTGCACGCCGTGAGAAACGGCGTGGTTAGCGGCGAGAAGCGCACCCTGAGTGGCCTCTATGGAGGTAGCGGCGCGGGAGACGCCGCGTGATGCGACGGACGCGCCAAGTGATGCGATCGCCGTCGTGGTCGCAGCGGATGATGCGACTGCCATCGCTGCGCGACTGCGACGGTGGAGGAGAGAGAGTTGGCGCGAAGCCACAGTGAAGATTCTGGTTGAAGGTTTCAGCACCGCCGTGTTGTGAGGTCGAACTGAAGTGTTAGCCAGGAGTTGGGAGGGAGAAAATTCCCCAAAAAGCTGATTTCAGTTTGCCCGGAGAACACTGAAAGGAGTAGAAGAGCACAGCCTCTCACTAAGTCGCGCGAACCAAGTCCCTTCACAATTCTCACGTTAGAAAAGCGCCGAGATACGGAGCTCGCGTTGAGGGAGAAGACTGTCAGAAACCTCGACAATCGAGGCACAGAAACTAGGAAAGGAAGACTTCTGGGATGGGTTTCAATATTTACGAAAGCTGTGGCAGGATGGAGGAGAGGGAGAACGGGAAAAGCGGGCCAGGGAAAATGGGAGGGAAAGGGGAAGCACAACCGATGGATACAGAATCAATTTCCTCGGGCAGGTACTGTACTGTATCGAAACGTCATACTTTGTTTCGAATGGGAGGATGCATTCTGGAGCCCGATTTCGGTTTGTTAACAAAACCCCGAGGTTGACATGGCATCACACGAAGAAAGTGCACTGCTCAGCCAGTGGAGTTCCTACTCTGGGAATCTCCGTGAAAGCGCCTGTCGGCCAACGCCGCGTGTCTACTTGAATATCCGCAGCATGACCGCCGCGGTCAGAGAAGGCCAGTGACTGGCGAAAGTGCATCTGCTCATTGGTTGGCGAGCATTTGAGATTGCGCACGGGCAGCTCGTTCTCGTGAGTCCCCCAATCCCTCCCATGTGTGGCTGGCAGTTCCCTCGAGGGGCTGGCTAGGGGAAATCCAACCGCGGGGAGACGCGCAAACTCTCGCTGCTGCCACGTCAACGGACCGACAAGGACATGTCCCACGTCATCGTACTCTATAAACCAGGCAGAACTGTACAATATAAGGGAAAGGTGGATAATTAGCATCAGCTGTAGAAACGATTCCCGCATCAACTCAAATGCACTCCTAGATCCATTCGATGCCAAAAGCATGCCTTTGTCCACAATCATCTTCATGCTAAAGAGGGTCTAAAAGAAACATCAGCAGCTTGATAGGCACCAAGATGCTGAAGCTGCTTGGCAACCAAGCAAAAATTTGCACGTAACGGGTGCTAACTAACCAACGAGGTGCAACCTATTTATTGTAAAAGTGAACCACGTGTTTAGGGTGGCCATGATCTAGAGTTTGTGGAACCACGAGTAAAAGTCAGCGGAAGACTTACAAATTGTATTGGAAATGTCCGAAATGGCAAGGATAATAATAATGAGTAATACATGCATATTTATATTCTATGAAGTACCTATTCGGATGTATATGTTCGTAGTGTATCGCGACTATTCAAGTGACACATGACTAGTGACTGAGAGTGGCGTGACCCTTTGGGTGACTATACATACGAGACTACTGCTCACACGTTGACTCACAACTGCTGACATCATCACGCGCGTCCTTTTATATGAGGTATCGTGCTACTAGTACAGTCTAAGTGTTATATACGGAATGCATAAGTAAACTCTGTCGAGTATACTTCAACACTCCCCGTCATTCCAGAGTGTGTCTGATAAAAACCACTTAGGTGCCATGACTTTACGTGGCAGTGACTTCAAATGCTTAGAGTAGCAAAAAACTTGCTTTCTTGTAAAAAATCATTTGCATATTCCAACTAGGTTCGAGCAGTACTGAAACTTGCCGCGTTGGAGTTTCTTCGTAAAAAAATCATCCGCCATTTCTTCTGTAGAGCAGTATTTTAGGATGTCCTTCCCTTTGTCAATTTCCTCATTGACAAATAAGTAACGGAGGGCGATGTGTTTTGTCCTGTTGACGAAGCCGGGCTTGTTTGCAACCTTGATTGCGCTCTGATTGTCGCAGAGTAACTTCAAGTTACCGTTCATTGCGATTTTCGCCTCTTGAAGTAACTCTTGAAGATAGAGTCCTTCGCAAACTGCAGAGCTTGCTGCGGCGAATTTTGCTGCGACTGACGAAAGTGCGATGACTTCCTGTTTTGTTGAGTTCCCAGAAATGACAACACCTGGCTCAAGTTTGAAAATGAACCGTGTACACGAACGCCTGTTGTTGAGGTCAGCAGCGTGATCCGCATCAACATATCTAGTCAGTCGAAAATTCGTTGCATATGTTGTCGTGTAGCTGATGCTGATTGTAGGAGTAGAATTAAAATATTAGAGGGCTCGACGAAGATCGGCCATATGCTCCCCTTCTGGTCAGCGCATGTAATGTGCAATCTGACTCGTGACGTAGGCAAGATCGGGACGGCATGCAACTGCTGCAAATAGAAGACATCCGAACTGCTGCAAGTAAAGCTGATGCTCAGAGGCGGTATGTGGGGTAGTATCTGTTCAAGTGAAAGAATGACTACAACAAGGCATACAAGGAAATATAGCCTAATAGGTTGTACTCCCTAATGCACAACCCTATATAGTTTACTGAAACATACAATATATGTTTGACACACCCCTTAGACTGGATAGGGGCAGTGCCCAATGAGAGAGAAATTGCTCAGGGTGGCACTAGTAGTTCAGCCTCTGAGGCAGGGGTCTAAAGACCACTCAAACAAGTATAGACAAAGCAAGAGCAAGACTAGGGTGGCACAACTAGTCCAACAATTGGGAAGAGGACACAAGCCCAGTCAGGGTAATATATATAAAGGTCTGTACACAATCAAGGTCCTAGCAAGTGAGAGGCTACAGGAACGAGACCTAATTGTACACAATGCCGCTGATGATCTTTAGGCGCAAGCGCCTTAGTAAAGATATCAGTTATGTTGGCACCTGAGGCCAAGTGTACTACACGAGCCTGGCGACGCTGCTGCAGCTTGCTCAGGAGGAAGTACCGCAGCTGGATGTGCTCCACTCTGCCCTCAAGTCGTGGCTCCTGACACAGGAGGATCATGACCCTGTTCTCAGCGTACAGAACCGGGGCAGAGCTAGGCCGCTCACCCAAGTCGGTGAGCAAGAAGGTCAGCCAGCGGAGCTCCTGTACCGCCATGGCACCGGTGTAGATCTCAGCCTCACAGCTAGAGTGGTAACAGACGAGGAATGGGTGGACCTCCACAACATGGCACCTGCACCAAGGCTAAAGGAGTAGCCCTGTGAGGATCTGAGAGTCTCGGCGTCGTCTGCCCAAGAAGCGTCTGTGTGCCCGGTAAGAACCACAGGTCTGTGTCCTCCTTGCACTAGCCCCATGCCCGATGTACTTGCTAAATAACGTAAAACCCTCTTAGCTGTCGACCAGTGTTGTGGTCAGTGTCTGCTTGGGGCCACAAAGCGAGCCAGGATGCTGAGAGGGTATGCGAGATCTGGACAAGTGCAAGTCATCAGGTACATGAGGCAACCCACCAGCTCTGTGTAGAGACCACTAGGCTCTACAGCCTCCTCAGGGACTGGGGCAGAGAGTCTGTGGTCTACTGACAGAGGGGTGGGCTGTGCGGAAGAGAACTGAAGGCCGAACTTCTGAAGGACCTGGCGCACCAAGTGTGACTGTGAGAGAGTGATGGTGCACGCTGCTCTGTCCTTGGAGATCTGCAAGCCAAGATAAGCGGCGCAGCTCTCCTAGGTTAGTGCAGGTGTGTCTCCTCAGCAGCTCGGCCTTCACAGCGGCCAGTGTGTCTCTATCTGCAGTAGCAAAGACTATATTGTCTACGTAGACAAGGATGTAGAACGGAGTCTGGCTGGAACGGACAAAGAGCGAGGGGTCTGCAGACGAAGGGAAGAATTGCAAGTCAGCAAGTGTAGCACGCAGCGTGTCGTGCCACTCACGGGGTGCCTATCGCAAGTCATAGACGGGGCGCCGGAGGAGCCACTCGGTGCAAGGGGGAAGGTACCGGAGAAGCCTTGGGGGCGGCAAAGGTAGACTTGCTCGTGTAGACTGCCCTGAAGGAAAGCTGTGGAGAAGTCGAGGGAGTGCAGCTCATAGTTACGCTGTGCTGCTACGTGTAGCAACGCCCGAAGAGTAGTCATCTTCGGGGTCGGGGCGAAGTTCTGAAAAAAGTCCACCCCCTCACGTTGACTGAAGCCTCGAGCGATGTAGCGTGCCTTGAAGACAGGCGGCTCTCCAGGAGGGTGCTTCACCTTGAAGAGCCACCGGCCATCGACTACGTTCACCCTGGGTATGGGGACTGCGTCGACGAAGGTACCGGTGGATCTCAAATATGCCATCTCCTGCTCCATGGGCGCTATCCACTGAGAGACCCAGGGTCCCGAGGTGGCCTTAGCGTAGGTGTGAGGGGTCGGGATGTTGAGGGCGTCTAGGTCACCCTCAGCGACTAGTAGCATGGAACACAGATGGGGAGCGACATGTGACATGAAAGCGAGCTCAAACTACCTGTCCTCCTGGACGTCACTGCCAAGAGCAGCCACATCCCCGACGGTCGGAGGGCAGGCAGGGTCAGAGACCAGAGAGGTGGCATAGTTCAGGCGGCGGATAGCGACGAAGTCAGTGACAGCAGCGACAAGAGCCGATAGACTCGAGACAGGAACGGACGGGTTGGTAATGAGAGAGGCAAGGACACGAGGAAGAAGGGGACGCACACCATGGAGGAAGTCCGAGAACGGAGGCGGGGCCACAGCAAGCGAAGACGGAGGAGGAGACGGGAGGCGAGGAGGAGCACGAGAAACGTGAGAGCACAACAACATAGGGCGAGAATGCGGAACAGGGGATGTAGGACGAGCACGAGACGGACGACGAGACCAGACATGAGAAGGAGGAGTCGGGTCAGGTGAGAGGGGAGGAGACACAAGAGGAGAATGGGGAGGGAAACGAGCCGAAGAGGAGTCCGAGGGAGGAAACACGGGGCCGTGGACCGGCAGAGGAGGAGGCGGCTGCAGCGGGGGAGGCAGCGACGGGCGGTCAGGGGAAGGGAGACCGAGGAGGCGAAGAGAGGACACCGGCGGCCACAGCTGCGACTGTTGCCCGACTCCAACACCAGAACCTCTAGCGACAACATGGCTCCCTCCAAGAAGCCCCACGCCAGCACCCCCAGAGCCCGCTCCAGAACCAGCTCCAGCCCGCTCGCCAGCACCCCCAGAATGCACGAACCCTAGCAGCAGTGATGACAACAGCTGGTTGCAGCGGCAGCGGCGGAGGCGGCTGTGGCAGGGACAACAGCGGCGGCGACAGAGGAGGCGAGAACGGGCCAGGGACAGGCGGGGGAAGAGATTCCGCCGAGCCGCGAGAGTAAGCGGACTCCTTAGCAGGGACATCCGACGGGAGGGGGGTGACGTGAGACACAGCAGACGGGGCTGGGCGGGGAGGGGGGTGGACATGGTCGACTAGGGG